TTCAGTAGCTAAAAGAGAGTAACTGCAATGTAGCTATCAAAGAAACATGGCTGCATTCCAAGAGCAAAACAACTTCTGTAAATGGTTTTAATACTCTAGTGCTGCCCTAGTCTTTCAGTTCTAGGCTTGAAACAGTGTTTCTTTCTTGTGCTGTTACTATTGTGCTCTTTGGGGTTCTTGCAAAGATTAAAGGTGGAGGAGGCACTCCCTGATTAGTGCTGTGCAGTGCCAAGGGAGCATGGTTGGGTAACGATGGGCTGATGGGGAAGTGTGTGCCAGAGTCCTTGTGCAAACGTGGCCGCTCTCGGGGCCGTTGCTCTGTGTGGTTTTACTACGTAAGCATGACTTGCAAACTTCTGCTTGTAAGAGCAGAGTCATGCTACTCCTGCTCTTCCCTGATTTTCCCACCCTGCTCCTCCTCCCCAGTGTAGAAGGAAGGTTTTTCAGAAATGGAAAGGAGCCAGTTCTGATTTAGATGTGATATGCTAATCCTGCTGCAGGGAGGATCCAGAGTCTTGTGAAAACATTACTCATTCTTCTTTCTGTTGTTGTTGTTGGTTTGATTTTTGGAGTGTGGTTTTTTAGTTTGATAATTCATGGCTAACTTAAGAGGTGAAACAAAGGTACAGTATGAAGACTTGCTTGCTTTCCTTCTATCAGACCCTGAAAGGAAAGCTTTTTTTTTCCTCTCCCATTTTACAATACTGTCATCAGTTGCAAATAAATACTACTTAAACCAGCATGATTAGGAATTGACTGAGCCAGATCAAGAGACTGTCATTCAGGCTTTCTCTCTATGAGCTGAAGGTACTCCTGTGCTACCTCCTTAGCCCTGACAGATGACATTTAGTAACCTGCTTAGTGATGTTATAAAACTTTCTTATGGGCTTCTGAATACTAGTGTTAGGGGCCTCCCAGATTTATGAATCTTATTGCCCCTATAACCCACTGATTTACTCTTGATTTCCACTGCCCATGTGCCTGTGTTTCACCGTGGCTCGTGGAGCAGTGACACTCCCTGTGTTCTCGAGTCTCTCAGTCACTGACAGTGGTGCTCAGCTTTCTGATGATCTCCCTTTCCTGCCGTGCCCAAAGGTGAAGCTGTGTTTGCACGGTGCCTGTCTTCCCTCAAGGATGAGAGAGTGCAGGCCAGTAAGCTGCTGGAAGGGCCCAAAATGACTCAGTTCAGTGGGAACAAGAAGGTCTTCCTGGAGGACATCCGCAAGGTGAGTCCCTGTGCCGGGCCAGAGCTGCCCACCAGAGCAGGGCTGGGGTGCTGTGAGCCCTGGGGAGGAGCTCTTGTGTTTATATTTCGTACCAGTTGGTTCCTGGTTTCAGCACTGTGCACTGGCTGGTGATGTCCACAAAGCACAGTGTGACCTATTCCTGACCAAAGAATAGTCCTGAGGGAATTCCAGTCTCCCCACAGTGGGCAGTGGTCACTGCCTGGGGTGCAGAGGTCATAATTCATGCACAGGAGCTTTTCCACCCCTCAGCACTCCTGTCTTTGCAATGGGTATTGACCTCTTGATATCTCTCTCTGCTGAGACAAGCTTTCCAACAACTAGAAAGGATATTTTGGTTCTCAGATAGCTGGAGTGTGTCAACTGTGCTCATCCTTGTTGACATGTGGACTAAACAGAATATGTAGACTGTGAAGTTTCTAGTTCAACTTCGTGAGACTTCTCTTGGAATGTGACTTTGGATTTTTTTTAGGCCCTGTATGCTTCCAAGATTATCTCCTATGCTCAAGGCTTCATGCTGCTGAGACAAGCAGCCAAAGAATTCGGCTGGACGCTGAATTACGGTGCCATTGCACTGATGTGGAGGGGAGGCTGCATCATCAGGAGGTAATTAAGAGGAGGAGGTAACTTGGTTGTTGAGGGGAGAAGAGCAGGCAGTTTAGTTTATGTGGTGCTTGGCTGACAAGCCTGGATTTCCTTGGAAAATCCATGGAGTTACTCTGCTGATGAGGTCCTGAGAGGCTGTTTCTCTACAGAGACAGACTAAAAGTTACCAGATGAACCCTCTGTTGTGGTGGCTTAGAAAATCTGCTGCAGATTTTCTTTGGTCTTTGTAATGTTTGGAATCTGAGTCTGGCTGAGTGAAATTTTGGCACTGTAAGTTTTGGATTCTGAGCCTTTGTTGAAAGCTGTGAAATTTATTCCTGGTTTACTTCTGCCTAGTGTGTTCCTGGGAAAAATCAAAGATGCTTTTGATCGAAACCCTGACCTCCAGAATTTGCTGCTGGATGATTTCTTTAAGACAGCTGTTGAAAACTGTCAGGTGAGTTCCAAGGAAAGGAGAGCATAGAAACAATAATTTACAGCCAGGACTGTCATGGTTCTTCTCTTTGATATTGGCCCAGCTATGACTGGAAACCAAAGGTTTCCATTTTACTGTTACAGAAGAGCCTTAGGCAATAGCAATTCAGAAGGACCACAGTATGAGGGAAGAATGCCTGGCCTGCATGAACATTCTCATCACTGCCCTGTGCACTTGGATTTCTGTTCCAGTACCATTGTTTGCAGTAGCCCCAAAACAACAGCGTTCCAGACCCGCTGTTCTTTGGGCCTGGGTCTGTCCAAACAGTGTCCTGATTTGGATGGAGCTGACAGGCAGAATTAAAACCAGATTATCTGGCCAACAGAGAAGTCATATATTATCATTAATAACTCTTGTAACTGAATCTGAATATTCCATGCAAGTCACTAGATGAGATGAACAGTTGTACCGGGGATTATCCACATGTCTGTCTGAAGTATCACACTGACCTCTTATGCCCCTGGGCGAGCTTTGTCCTAGGCTTGGTGAGAGCTCTTGGAAGTGCCTCAGTGTTTGCTCAGAACATTCCCTGCTGGGTTTGTGCTTTCGGGATGTTCTGATCATGTTTATGTGAAAGAACAGCATTCTTGCTTGAGGCTGTGGTTTGAGTTCATGCCTCAACTCTTCTCGTCCTGTTGTTAACTCTTATCTTACCATTATTTTGGATCAACCTGTTTATGTAAAATCAGGAATCTACTCCTGATTTGCACAGACTTGGTTATTAGATTTCATAGAATGTGAAATAGCACACAGTTGTACTAAAACAGTGCATGTGCCTGCACATCCCTCTGAGCAAGCACTGATTAGTTTCTTTTTTCTTTATTTCCCCCCCTCTTGTCCTCTCTCCCAGGATTCCTGGCGCCGTGTGATCAGTACTGGAGTACAGATTGGAATCCCTATGCCCTGCTTCACCACTGCACTTTCTTTTTATGATGGATACAGGCACGAGGTACTGCCAGCTAACCTGATTCAGGTGGGTACTGAAGTAGCTCTTCTGGCTACTGAAATATCATTGTGTTGTTTTTTAAGCACTGCTTTGAAGGCTTTGCTGGCAGTATGTCCTAATCACTCACAGTATAGGCTGCCTCATGTGTTTGGTACACCTGAAATACACTTAAATGTCAATAAAATACTTAGAGACATCTGGATAAAGAACACCAGAGATACTGGTGTGGCAGTGCCCAGCATGTGTTAGTGTCCCATCTGTGAACCACGGGGAGTGATACCTTTGAATCAAAATGCTTTGTAGAGAAGTATCTTTGAATGTTTGCATGTATAAGTGCTTGCTTTTTAGATTAGTACCAAGCAGAAGTAATATAGTTGTGTTTCTACAGAACTCATAATTACTAGATATTAATAAATGTTTCATTGCAGTGATTTTTCTAATAATGAGACAGTAAATTTGAATGTTATGATACTGAAGTCTGATCTTTTTTCTAGTATTCCTATAGTTGAGTATCAGTAGGTGCAACCTGTAGTCCTCATGTGACTGTGATATTGATGTGTCTGTTTTGTGTGTTTTCCAGGCTCAGCGGGATTACTTTGGTGCACACACATACGAATTATTATCGAAGCCGGGGGTATTTATCCACACTAACTGGACAGGCCATGGAGGAAATGTGTCCTCTTCTTCCTACAATGTCTAATGGAAATCCTTCCACTTGAAGCCAAGATACTGTAGATCCCAGATATTTCTCCTAGAAATCACTTTTTACTGTGCTAGAACTTGTGTTTGGACACTTTTGTAATAACTTGTGGGTATATTTCATATATATATATATGTAAATCTCAATATATATATCATATAAGAAAGCTAAATAAATTTAGTTATAAATGTATTGAGGGGTTTTCTTTTCACTACTGCTGGCCAAAATATCTTTGTGCGGTATTTAATAGACTACAGTTTATAATTACAGCATTTTTATTGTATTGTAGTGCATACAGTCCTAGGGATCAAGGCAGAGATGACTGGAGTTCAGTAATTTCCCAGGTGGAGAGTGTCAAACAGCACAGTAATGCTACACAAGGTCCTAGGGAGGCAAAGGACTGTTTTTAGGTTGCCATGGTTTATTTGTAATGGGTGTTCACCTGCTCACTGTGAGCTCTGTGCTCTCTGTGGGAGGGTGAAGGGTGGGATGGATCGTGGAGAAACAGGAACGATATTCCTGTCACCAAACCATTCTCCCTACAACTGTTATTCCTAGATTTAAGCTCTGGCATAAACCTTTGGCCTAGCTGTGTGCTTGCGGTTTTTACCCCAAATCTCCCTGATTCTTTGCCTCGTCTTCCCAGGGGACAATTAAAAATCCCCACAGTTGGCTCTATTTTATATCCCCTCCCTGCAATGCTACTGCCAGTCATCTCCAGGACTTCTGAAAACTCACCTGGATGTCTAAACCTTTCGTTTGTCCCTCAGAAGTGTTAAATCTTCCCTCTCAAGTGTTAAATTTTCTGCTGCGCGCTGATTTTTGTAGCACTTTTTTTTCTCCATTTATTTCTGGTAAGGCAGCCACTTATTATCGAATATCTCTATACGGCAAAATATGACTTCCAATTTCAATCAACTTTTCTGCAGACCACGCAGTAATATTCGGGATTTCCGCGAAATAAACGAGTGTCGCGGGTGCCGGTGAGCAGCGGGGTCGCAGCTCCCCTCAGAGCGGCCCCGGGGCGGGACCCAACATGGCGGCGGCGCGGCCCCGCCCCGCGCGCTGGGCGGGAAACTCTGAGGGGCGCGATGGCGGCGGCGGCGGCGGGCGGCGAGGAGCGGCTGCTGCTCACACAGGTACCGGCGGCGCGCCGGGGTCGGGGCCCTGAGCCACCGCCTGCAGGCGGCTGTGGTGGCCTGGAGCGGAGCCGGTGTGTCAGTGCCTGCCCCCGCCTTGGTCCCTGCAGAGGCTGAAGGCGGCGGTTCACTACACGGTCGGGTGCCTGTGCCAGGAGGTGGAGGAGGACAAGGACATACGGTTCAGCAAACAGAGCATCGCGGCCATCTCGGAGATCACCTTCCGACAGTGCGGTACAGCCTGGATTGCCTTGTATTACCTGGTGTTACGTGGGTTACCTGGGATTACCTTACCTGGGGTTACCTGGGCTACCTGGTGCTTCCTGGGTTACTTGGGTTACAGCTCCTGGGTTCAGGAGCCACTGCTGGAGACATGGGGCTTTAAAATAATAGAACCGAACTAGGTGTCACTGGGGCATTCCCTTGCATTGTGTTTTTAACAGTACAAGAAATAGCGTTTCTGCTTTTCGGACCTGAAAAAAGCATGTAAGTGCGTGTGGAAATATCGTGCCTGTGCAAGAGTGGCACCTAATAACCAGCTGTGGTCACCTCTCATAACTGACTTGGATAACCTGCACTTAATACCTTTGTAACAACTGTTGTATAATATGTATCTCTTCCCACTCAGCATTTTAAAATATGTGTCATCTTTGTGTTTTCTCCAGAAACCTTTGCAAGAGACCTTGAAATGTTTGCAAGGTAGGCACTGATTGTTACAAAGGCTTTCTTCTTCAGTGTTAGCTCCTAGATAATCTTGAAAACACCTCTTGTCATTCAAGGTTTTAAGTGTTCTGTTGTCTGCTTAAATAGTGGCTGTGAAGTTAAGAAATAGATGTTCCCTGCAGGTACTTCCTGATCTTGGAAGCTCATTTTTGTGGTACAAGTGATTGTTTAGATTAACTACTGTATATAATCATCAAATGCATTGATACACAGGGGTAGTGGATGGTCTGGGGGTGACAGGTGATTACCAAGCTGGTTTCTCCAAGGAGGTAAAGGAGAGTTTTTAGTTAAAACCCAACACAGTGACCTGCTGACAAGTAACAGGGAACAGGACAGTGGTGCTTGAAGTTCTGATTGCTATATTTTCACACATGAAGTGTGGGAATTTAGATGTACAGAAACAAGCTTGATAAAACAGCGTTTTGTGCGTAGTTAGGGAAGACAGACAGGTGGGATTTGCTCAGTGCATATTAAACCCCTTTAGTCCCTGAATTCATTGCTCTCAATGAGGTGCTCTATGGCCTCACAGACAGTGTTGGCAAACATGTTAAGAGGTGTTTTTATTTTATGCAGGCATGCAAAACGAAGCACAATCAATACAGAAGATGTGAAGCTTTTGGCTAGAAGGAGCAGTTCTTTGGTGAGATTCACTGTATTTTCTGTCTCACAACATTCTTAAACCAGCTAAGAGCATTTGAATGAAGGATATAGATGAGGAAGCAACTGTTGTTTAGGCAATTTCACTGTCTTACTGATGATAAGTGGGCACAAATCCAGTGATTTTTAAATTTTCATCTTACTTCATGACACTGCCTCACTGTGGGAACACACATCTCATTGCAATTCAGGAGTTGCAGGAGGGTTGCTGAGGTTCCAAGTACAGAAGTGCAATAAAACCCGCTATACAGACACAGCATCATCAATCCTGGAAATGAATCCCTTTGCTTTTTCCTGATGTGTTCCTTTGTTGTAGCCCAGGAATAGCTTGAGTCTGCCTCGAGGAGCTGAGTCTCCTCACATTAACACAGGGATCATGGAATCATTGCATTCTCTCTTGTGCTGATCTCTGTGAAGTTCAGTGGATTAAACTCACTGATGTTATGACATACCTGTACATGGAACCATGAAGAAGAAAGCTTCCAATACTGATTTTAATTTTATGTGAGGAGATTTTTTCCTTTCATATGATTCGAAATATGCAACACGAACTTGCCTGAGAAGGCAGAGTAAATGGTTTTTTTGAGTCTGTCATCTTTCTTGTAGTAAGAATTTGCCCTATGACTTTCTCTTCAACATTTCTCTCTAATTTCGTGTGAATAAATGAAGTTCTTCAGTAGAGAACTAATTACTTTATTGTTCTCAGCTAAAATATATCACCCAGAAGAGTGATGAGCTTGCATCAAGTAACTTGGAGCAAAAGGAGAAGAAGAAAAAGAAGTCCAGTGCAGCCAAGGGAGAGAGAACTCCTGGGGAAAAAGAAGCAGCTGTGACTGAAAATGAAGATTCCAACATGTCATGATCTACCTTTCAAGTGATGTCTGAGGTCAGCTTCTCTTAGTATCCTAGAGAAACCAGAATTAGCCTATGTAAGATTCCTCTTGCAGGTTTAACACCAGTAAGGAATCTTTAGGTTTTTAGGTGAACACGATGATTTTTATTGTTCCAAAAATGCAAGGTCTGTGAGAATTCAGTAAAGCTTATGCCCAAAATGCCCTAATTGCTCACAAAAGGTATCTGTTACTAAAATTAAACTCATTTAAATAAAGAGTTTAAAGCAGAACATTCTCACTGAACCATAATAACTCAGTGTGTGCAACACCCTCAGTGCTGCTACTTAATTTCTCCAGTAACTGTTTTGACTTCCTCCTTGCTTCCAGTTTGGATGCTTTTGCTCAGGCATGTGGAATATTTTGGTTTTGTTTTAACAGCTTTATCTCTTACTTGTTGCCTTGACAGTTTAAACATGTTTTGTGTCATTTCCCCCCTGTGCCACTGCTGGGGTATAACCTTTACTGTCAGGAATTCCCATTTTCAGGCAGCACTGTGGCTCTGGAGCAGTGGGCAGACACCGACCCCCATTGCCCTCTGCTGGGCTGGCAGAGCCTTAAAGAGTGCAAAAGAGTTGTAAAAGAGAATTCAAAAATAATTTGATTCAAAAGAAGCAGATTTAAAGACATAAGTAATTAGACAGAAATAGCCAAGTGAAATGAGAAGGCTGCTCAAGCTGCTGTGTGGGCCAGCTTGATCCAGCAAGAATTAGCTTGCCAAGGATAGTCTAAAATATGCAGCAAGAGAGGAAAGACTTGAACACTGTTTCTCTTGCTCAGCCCTTGATTCATGAGACAGACTCTTCCTTGAAGTCACTTATTCCTTTCTGCAGGATAGAGCTTAGGGCAACTCCTCCAAACCAAGTTTAAAGTCATCAGCTTCTCATTTTAGTTAGACCAATATATTAAACACTACCCCAGGATAAAGAAGGTTCTGCATGACAGAATATTTCTGATTGCACTTGAGAAGTTCTAGGTGTAGCCTTGCTCTGTGTTTGAAAGAAGAGTGCACTTTCTAGACTTGAGTCACTTGGCTATATATGACACACTGCTCTTGTGCAGCCTTTCATTCTTGCTCTGTATTTCAGTTTTTAAGCAGGAGTGATAGGGAAAATCCCATGCCTTTTGTAGGCTGCAACTATCCAGTATTGATCAAATAAAATCAGGTGCTGCAGTGCAGAACACAGGAATATCATGAATCCCCATCTCTGTGGGGGAAATTTTACACAATGGCTCTTCAATACTCTCCCTTTCCCCCATCCCAGACCGTTCCACTTTCAGGGATGAGATTTCTTTTAGAAGAATTCAGCACATTAATTATTGCAGCTGGTGGAAATATCAAAACTAGCCCAACAGTAAGATAAAAAGCTTTTATTGATGTTAGAAAAAAAGACTTTAACAAATTTAGAAATAAGGCAGTTAATACAAAAGCATCATGATGCTCCACTCATGATTAGGAGAGTAACACAGCAGGCCAAATACAAGTCTTCTTTCACACAGCCCTAAAAAGCAACTATTTCCACCTTTGCTGTGTTTTATCAGTTCTTACACAGCACCCAAGAAAAAGCTCTGAAGTGAATGGACTTTGAATTTACTTTAACTGGTAAAATCAGCATGAGAATTCAGGGTCCTAGATCCCAAGCTGGAGCTTAGAGCCAGGCAGCAGCTGGTTAAACCCTCTGCCCTGTTCACAGCTGTGCCTCAAAGTGTCTCACAGAGATCTTCCACCCTTTACACTGGAAATGGTCTGGGGGACAAGGGAAGCAAACTGCCCAGGGCCTCAGGAGCTGCAGCCACCAGGATCAGATGGAAGCTTCTGGCTCCCAACCAGGTTTGCAAAGCTGAACCCTTACATGCTGTGTTTAGCAATACCATTGTTCCAGTATTCTGCAAAAAGTCAAAATCCCTTTGGTCACACATGATTTGAATCATCCCAGGAGTCTAAGCCTCAGGACAATGTCCAGATTTCCCTTGTCTATAGCCAGAGCACAGTATGACCAGCAAACTCTGGCTCCCAGGACGTGTCTTTGCTGCATGGATCCTAATGCAGAAGCAGGAGCTGAGCTGCCAGCAGCAGGGCAGTGTTATTTTTTGCGTTTTGAGCTGGGCCAGTCCCCCCAGGGCAGGGTTTTCTTGCCCTTGGACGTGCTCCGCAGGGAATGCAGGGTCTGCACCTGCTGGAGGCGCTTGGAGAGCTCCTGGTCACAGGCTTCCTGCAGAGCTGCAGCCTTCTGCTTGTCCCACCCCAGAGCCGAGGCCAGGGCTGCTCTGTCTTCCTTCAGCACCAGCTGTAGGAAAGCACATTTCTAAGTCTTTTCCACTGACTCCCCCACCCCGACCCTCTGCCCACATGAACAACAGCAGCAATGAGGCACCTGTTTAGCACTGGCACTTTGGAGCTGAGGATGTTCCCAGCTTTCATCACCTATTCCATGGGCCACTGGATTTCCAGTGTTCTGCCAACACTCAGAGCTTGAAGCTCTGTTCAGATGTTCAAGGGAACAAACAGCAGCTACTTAGTTTCCACAGCAGGGAAAAGCAACAGCAGCCAGGTCACAGCTTGGAACACCTTCCTATAGTGGTTACAGTTTAGCTGGACTTTCCCAGCTGTGGGTTTGTTTACAGTTTTCAAAAATAATGAGCTGTTGATTTGGGGTGTATAACAGAAGTATAGCTAGATGCCTCTGCATACAAAACACTACCCTGCTGGTAAGACAGCTGACTAGGATTTGTCAGAGACCAAACCCAAGAGTATTTTATGGCTTTTTGGAGTATGTGAAACAGCGTCAGCTGGCTGACACAGAGGGGCTGCAAGCAGGGGGTACAGATAGTGAGACTGAGATCTACTGACATCAGAGCCTCCAGGAGCAAGGACAGCTTCCCCTACAGCCTCTCTCTCCAGATATCTCCCTGGATATGGTTGTGTCGTTCTCACCCACCTCTAGGTCCTGACTGTCCAAGCAGAGCTCTGGAGCAGGTTTCTCCCTCAGAGCAGCAAGGATCTGGTCACTGAGGGCTGTTTTGGCTGGAGTGCCTGTGCTGCTGGTACCTGTGTCAACCACATCCATCTCCTTCCTTGGTGCAGCCTGAGGTTCTGAAAGGGAGCAGAGTCAATACAGCCCCTGACAAACACAGGACAGGAAAAGTGGCCTGGACTGCTTTGATGGTTGTGAGATTAATAGAATATGCCTCTCATCTAGGTGTACCCTCTAAGTTAAGAAATCCATAATGCCTATGTGATTTAAGCTTTTCTCCCAGTATTCTACTTTCAGGCATTGTGAGAATTCTCTCACCGGGTCAGAGAATTCTCACACCATATACACTAAACCAGCTCTTGCATCAACCCCACTAACAGCTGCTGAGCAAATGACTCACTCCAGTCCTTCACTCCACCTTATTTATTCCACCAACTATTTCAGGCATCTCTGGGAAGCTCCTTCTCCAGCATCCCTGTGCTCCCTACCTGCTACTTTGCTTAAGACACTGTCTTCAGTTTTCAAGGCCTCCAGGTAGAGCTCCAGGAGCTGCCTTGACTGACGCTCCTCTTCTCTTCTGTCCAGCACCTGCTGCAGGGTGTCCTGCAGCACCTGGGTTTTGGTTTCACTTTGGGCAAGTTCTTCTGCCAGGTCTGAACGTGGCACATCAATCAGTACCTGAAAACAATGCCAGTGCTGAGAAACTCATTGCATGGCACTGAATGCAGTAGAGACCAGCCCTCCTGAAACCCAGCGTGTCCCACAAGGTTTCTTGTGAAGCCACCATTCTTTACCAGAAGCCAAAAGGCATCCAGGGACAGTTGGGGTTAAGAGCACCCTGCTCAGACACTTGAGTGTTTCCCCTGCACGAGAGGTTTGACGCTGGCACCAACAGCCAAACAGCAGCAGCTGAATTAAGCCTGAGATCTCGTTTACTGATTCTGTTCTCTCCTGAGATGAATGGGTGATGGGCAGAGCCAAGGACAGGGCCTGGGGGTTTCCCCACTGTACCTGGAGGTCTTCTTCAGACATCAGGATGATATTGGAGAGGTCACCCTTCAGCTGCCTGGCCAGCTGCTTCCACTTCTCCGCAGCACTGTCCACTTCATCCGCAGCCCCCGAGAGCCAGGATGTTCCACTGTCTGACACAAGAGTCATCAGCTCCCTGGGTCACTCCTGATCCACCTGAGACAGCCTAATGTCACCAGGTGTATTCCAGACACCCTCCCCTCCCATGCTCCCTCACCCACAGCCTACCAAAGCTTTTGCTGGACCATTTCTCATCCTTGGCCAGTGCCACAAACTTGGTGTTAGGTGGCAAACACAAGAAGTAATCCTCATCATCCACAATGGTTCCATCTTCTGCCAGCACCAAGGTGATGGGCTCCCTGGCCTTGTCAATGGCCAGAACACCACAAGCTGCACAACAGAAAAAAAAACTTAATTAAGTGACAGAAGTGACACAGCACTGCCCTTTAATAACCTCCAGCACAAGGCACAGGCAACTCTCAGTGACTGAGGCTGGAGCCCAGACCTGTCTCCTCACAGCTCTGCACATCGGCTCTTTTTTAGCACAAACACACGTGCCCTCCCTCCAGAAATTAATATTAGAATCAGAGAATCATGGAATCATCAAGGTTGGAAGAAACCTTTAGGATCATCCAGTCCAACCATCACCCAGCACTGCCACTGTAACCCCTAAACCATCACCACACGTTCTGTTCTGAACACCCCCAGCGATGGTGACCCCACCACCTCCCTGGGCAACCTACTCCTATGCTTGACCACCCAGTGTTTTCCTAATCTCTAATCCGAATCTTCCCAGCGCCAGTTTGAGGCCATTTCCCCTGGTCCTCACTGCAGGACAGCGGCTGTTTCCCGGTGCAAACCTCGGCACCGGCACCGGGCCGGCCGCGGGTCAGTGGAAGCGCTTCCCGATGCTCGTTCCCACCTCCCCTCGCATCCTCTGCTGCGAAGCGCCCCCGGAGCCCCGAGGGCTCAGCCCAGCATCGCGGGAGGGTCCGGGATCCCCGGGGCTCCCATCGGTTCCCCCCCCGCGCCTTGTCCCGGGACCGCGGGCTCACCCTTGTCCCGCAGCTCCCGCAGGCAGGACGCGGCCACGCCGTGCTGCTCCGGCCCGTCCCGCCGCCGCACCACGCAGCGCTTCAGCCGCGCCGCCATCGCCTGGCGCCGGGCGATGCTTCTGCAGGCAGGGAAGGCGCTCCTGCCGGGAAGGGCAGGGACAGGGCCCGCCTGCC